CGTTGTTTTTCCTAAAGAGGGCATGGCGATCTTTCGTCTTTTCTACTTTAAGCCAGGCAATTCTCTTGCAATTCGCTGTCCAATAATCTAATTTTTAAATATTTTTACTTGTTTTCCACTCCAAAACAACATGAAACTCATTCAAATGGTCCATTTCTAATAAGTTTCGCCTGGGCAAACGAGGCGATCGTGGTAGAGAATGAGAGAGCATGAGAGAGAGAGAGAGATAACGGCATTTATGAGATAACAAAAAACATTTTTTTTTATAAAAAAAAAAGAAATAAAATGATGTCATTGTCAGTGTGAGCCATGTCTGTTCCCTCATCTCCTTTCCCTCATACTATCATGTTCAAGCTGTTTCAAATACGAAATTTTTAAAATAAACATAAAAATATTTTGTGATTCACTTGTGTTGACAGAAATAAGGCTGAGAGACACGTGAAACTCAAGTTGGGAAGACGTCAAACTTGAAAACGGTCTCAAACATTTGGAAACGAAAAAGATTAAAAAAACATTTTTTCTCATCTCTCTCTCAGTGCCTCTCTCACTCACCCCTCCCTGTTTCTTCTTACAAGTAGAAGCATTCCTGTTTCATAAAGTTCATTGCGCATGATTGTCAAAGAGTTGTCTTTTCGTAAACAATTTGTTTAAGCAAATAAACAAAACATTTTGTAGTCTTTGACCTTCTGAAGTCAAAATATTGTTTTTTGATGTTGTGTGTTGGGGGCGATTTGTGCGTTCATGAACATGTGCAACTGTCTCTCTTCAGGCTTTTCTTAAATGAAAATGAAATTCACGTGAATTGACGTCTTCCAATATGAGAAAATAATGGGAAAATAAATAGAAAAAGGAAAAAAAAAGTTTGCCAAATGTCATTTGTTTGCTCAAAAACATTGAATGAAAACGGAAATACAAGGTTGCTCGAAATTCAATTTCATCGAACATTTGGCTTCTTTTTTTTCAACAAAACACTCAAATAAAATAAAAATGTAAAAACATATGATTATGAAAGAAAGAAGCAAAAAAAAAGTTGAAAAGTCGATGAAATAATTGATGAATTCAAGCTGAAAAAAAAAGTTTTTTTTCTTATTTTTAGAAAATGAACCGCCAGAAGATGTGAAACAAGACGAAGTAGAGGATGAAAAAACCTCTCAGACGTTTGTTCAACTCAAATGCCCTAAGGGAGTTACGAAAGAAACATCTATTGATGCAAATGCGTATATGTGGAAAGAAATTAGAGTTTATAAAAATAAATTCTTTCCAACTTATTTTTAAATTATAAACAATCCCAAAAGGTTCCGGAGAAGCTTTGTTGGCAGTAAAGTAAATATTTAAAATCACCAAAACTCATGGTTTGAACTGAGCAAATATTACTAAAGAGCAATAACATTAAAGAACAGTTTTTGAGGGAAAAAGCAAAGAGGGGATGAACAGAGATAGAGAGAGAGTGAGAGGGAACGAAGAAGTGACAGTGAAACAGAGAGAGAGATTCGTAAAGATGGAAGAGTTGCGTGGATGAAGAAGTGGAAGAGAACAAGAAGAGGGGGAGAGCAACGAAAGGCAAAAAGGTTAAAAAAAGACAGGAGGGAGGGAAACAATTTATTTTATTTTTTCGGAAATGGAACTTAAATGAAATTTTAATGACAGAAAAATGATTCAGGATATTGTTATTGGAACATACAATTAGTATAACCCTAATATGGATTATAGCAACTAAATGAAACAAATAAAATAATTTTGTGATTTATAACTCCTTTTTCTCTCTCTTTCTCTGATTCTCTTTATCTTTCTAACACTCTTTGTAACTCTCTATCTAACTTCTAGAGAGAACACAACAGGCCATTTGTGTGTTGTGCCTAGACGGAACAAAGCTCAAATAACATTGTCCAATGTCTGTCTAACTGAAACTTCCAACAGCCGTAAAATATAAAAAGAGCAATTTGAAAACATTAATTTAATCAAAAATAACTAAAACGAAGCTTTTGCGAGGTGGGGGCTGAGAGAGGAGGAAAAAATGAAATTTTTTTTTGCTGGTTAGAAACAGCCGTTGTAACGAAAGAAATAATTGAATTGCAAGCCTTTCCGAGACGAATAATTGAGTGTGAATGGACTTTTTATCGCAAAATGAATCGAAAGAGCAACAAAAATATCAAAAAAAGAGAAAAAAAGAAGGAAAAACAGATGTTGATCGGTTGGCCGGCCGGCCGTCGGGCCAGCAAACCAACTACATGGCCATGATCATGATCATGATGATGAATTCCATATCATGGTTTCGCTTCATTTCTCTTTCTCTCCCTTTTTTGTGTGTTTTTAAATATTTTATGAAAAATAAATGAATTGAAAGTGCAAAAATCACATGGAGCCTTCAATTTTAATTGAAAGAAACACAAAAATGAAACAAAAAATTTAATATTAGAACACATAATTAATGCCAAATGGTCAGAAATCAATTTCAGCCAAGAAAAAACGCTTTATACTGTAGCTGAAAGACTAAACTACGTACAAATCACTTATACACATTACATATCCGTTTGACATTTGATTCACGTGTATATCACATGAAACTCACATACATAAACAACATCTCATAACATATACGATTGTAATGACGTGATATGATCATTGCTGAATGTGTGGATGCTTGTTGAGCGGTTGTATATGTCTTATGAGAAATTCAAATTTCTTTTTCTTTTTTTTCTTCTTTTTGTTATTTGATTAGATTGTGAAAGAAAAATCTGATTTTTACTTTTTTTTTTATATTCTCCTCTGTCTGACGTGCGAAAACGGAGAGAACGAAGGAAATAAGCTAGACTTTGAGAATATTTTATTTAATATTTATTTTTAAAATGAATTTGTTTAATGCATGGAAGTTCCAAGTTCGGACAAAAGGTGAGAAAAAGGGATTTTCGTTAGAAATGTATGAATAAAACTTGGGAAGCCCATTCATGTTTCTTTAAATAATTCTCTTATTTGTTTTCAATTTTATGTGGAAGAAAGAATTATGCAAAGAATAAGCAATTGTCTGCCTTTTTTTCTTTTTTTTTCTTCTCTCTCTGTGCCACCATCATCAGCCACAGCACGACGACCACTTCTCTGATCTTTCAAATGATCATTTTGCTCCGCCAAAAATATAAAAATATAATTTTACTTTCAAAACCTTATAGACTGCTTCGTACTTGTAATTCATTGCTTTTCATCAGTCTCATTGTCATTTCAGCTGTTTGTTTTGGAAATTGAATTTTGAACTTTTTTTTTGTGAAAGAAAAACTGAAATGGAAGTTGACAGAAAATCGTTTTGGTTGAACTGCTGTTTCAACACAAATCAAATTGAATGAGAAGTTTCAAATAAGGTTTTTTTCCCGACTATAAACTTGTAAGTTTTTCATAATCTGCATGTGATTAGTTTCCGTCAACTTGGCTCTTTCTATTAGTTTCCATTGAGCAATCGCAATCAATTTGATAAAGGTCTTTGTTTGTTTTCATGTTTTTATTGAAAGAATAACAGCGGGAAATCCATCAATTAGAGATTTCTCTTTCAGGAAGTCGTGTAGTATGCCTTATGAGGAGAGTAAGAAAGAAATGGGCTTAGAAGGGCAAAAAAGAATAATTGAAGAATGAAGGAATAGAGAGAGGAGCGGGCAACGATCAAACGAATAACAAACAAACGTGAACGAATATGTCGCGAAACAGAGAGAAGAGACAGAAAGAAGAACGAGGGATGCGGGGTTCGATAGCCAACTAGGGCAACATGGCCCCAAGGAATTCAACCCCAAATTGATTTGAATAAAAAAAGAAGTGAATAACAAAATACCAAAGAGAAATAGAAAGTGAGAGAGAGAGAGAGAGAGAATGATAGAAGGGAATAGAGGAAGAGGGAGATGAAAATCTAATGTTCTTCTTTAGAGAAATTGTGGTGATTCTATCAGCTGAAAAGCCCAAAAGTCATTTTCTCCAAAGCTAAAGCAATGATAACCTAATAAGGAAAAAGAACAAAAAACGTATTGTCTATTCAATAATTAAACTTTACCGTATTTTTATTAGAAATTCTCATTAAATGATCAGTTGTGCAAGCGGAAAACATTTATAAAAATGAAAATATCTCTATCAATTACAAGGATATGCACAAGAAAATAAGATTAATAACAAAGCATTGTATAAGAAAAATTAATAAAAGAGAACATTCATATTATTGTTATTCTCTCTTTCTCTCTTCACCCTCTCTCTCTCTCTTACTTCTCTCATTCCCTCTCTCTTTCACTTTCTTTCTAAATATAAAAATATTTTACTAATGAATTCTATAGAATCTCTTCCCGAAAACTTTGTTTTCCTCTCTTAGAGGTAGATGTCACAAGGAATTTTTTATTTCACCCCCCCCCACTCTCTCCTAATGACGTCAGAATGCTCATGTTTAGCAGCAAAATTATCTTCCGAAAAAAAATAACCTAAGAGCTCATTAGCATATATCACACGATTTCACGTGAATTTTGTGAATGGACACGTCATTTCAAAATAATGTTGAATCACACTCGGTTGCTCTCATTTATCTCTCCCAATTTGGAAGACTAGTATGATAAAGAAAAACAGCACAATGATGGAGAAAGTACAAACTACAGATACTGGTGCGATTGACATCAAAATCAACAGTTTTTATGATAATCTTTGAATGACGTCGGTTGTAAGCCTAATCCAAGTGTTAGATTTGAAACGCAATGACAGAAAAACGAAAAAGAAACAGTGAATGGTCAGCGGTTGAGGAGAGCAGAAGAAATTAATGATTCTCATTATTTTATTCTGCAAGTTCTTTTCCTTCAGTATTCGATAATCTGTTTGCTTGTTGTTTACAAAATTCAAATCTCTGAAAAGGGAAACAGCAAAACTCCAATCACTGCCGAATGCTCTCTGCTCTCTCAATAGCCGCCGAGTCCTTTTACATCTCTTTTATTCTGTTCCCAACAAGTTTTTTTCATTAAAAAATATTTTCTTCGACTAGTGTCGTTTTCTCAGTGGAACTCGTGTACCATTTCTGTGAAAGTTTGGGAAATTAATCGTAAAGATTCGGGCTTCTCCGGGATATTTTGAATCGTTCCAAGAGCCTTAGCTAACCATGTGGCAATAACGTGACAACATGTGTATTCTTTCTCCTTCTCAATGACATCATCCTTAAAAATAAATCAGATTCATTTGAGCAGGTTAGATCATACTTGAAACCGTTTACAACAACAGAAATTGATATCTGGCATGATAAAGCAAGTTTTCTGAGCAGTGAGAGAAAATATAACCTAATAAAACACGTCATTTCTTTATTGCGTTTTTATTTACCTCATAGAAGGCTAAGCCATCCTCTTTTGGTTCTGATGATTCAAGCAAGTCGTAGTCGTCTAAATCTGGTTTGATATCCTTCACCTTTTCTTCAGGGCAAGGAATTTTATTCTCCTAAATTCACTTAATCTATTGTTGTTGAGAAAACAATACCTGTGAATTGTGTTCAGAGAAGATATCAAAGCTGTCATTACTATCATTCCTAACCTTTACATCACCATCCTATAACAACTTCCAAATTATCAAGTTCTGAAATGAGACAAGATTCTTACGTTCGGTGGATCATCCTTATCAGAAACGCCGGAATGTTCTGAAAGTTGAATAAAATGAAAAGAAACAAAAATTCATTCGAAATATTTTTTAACTGAGAGAGCGGTTGTGCTAAACTTACCCTTTTCATTAACTATATTTTCGGCCAGTAGATCATCCAGAGCAAAAGGATCCACAGTGTCCTGCTGAAAGTAACCGACTAAAACCACAAAATATCAATGTTACCATTTCTTTGGGATTGCCTTCAGAAGCTTCGTTTTTCTGAATCAGACATTTAGTTAACGCATAAATCAAGTAATAACCGTTGGGAGTTCTAATTGCATTTTCTCATCGAAATGATAAGTTACTCCACAGGATTCCGCTATGGCGAGTGCGTCTATGACCACTTCATCACCTAGTAGCGCTGCTAATGATGAGAGGTATTCGAAAAACTCAGGAGACCCTTAAGCAAGTTTGAAACTTTGTAATGATTCGACAATAACTCAAACCTTCCGATGCATCATTCAAACAATACAACTTATTGAGTATTTCTCTGAGAATCCTTTTAACTTGGGAAGGTATAAGAAGCTGCCGGTTCATTCCTTCGATAAGACAAGAAGATTAACTGTGTGGGAATATTCATGTATATGAATAGAAATAAATTATCTAATTCATTGTCGTAATACTTGATAATGTAAATGATTCATTCAGAGGGATTCGCATGAACAGGACAAAGAAAAGCGGCTGATGCTACGAAATACCAAGACAAATGTGCACGTTAATAAATAAAACCCAAAAAAGGCAGTGCAAAGACCACACGTTTCTTCTATGAACGAAAATGCTGCAACTTGAAACATTTTACAAACAAAAGCTATGCGTAGACAGTACAATTATTTAAATAATATCAGATGCTACAGTCACCAGTTTTCCTTTTTGAATTACAGTTTTGAATTGTTCGGGAACAGCCATTTCACTCTGTAATTAAGGTAAAAATAAGAATGCCTCCGAAGGTAAATTTACAAATTCGCCATCAGCAGCTGGGATGAGGATATTCATTTCGCTGGATTTGCTGGTCACAATTTCAGCACCTAGAGAAGCTTCACTAAGGTACACTTGACATCCATCAGTTTTCTGGATAGAAAGTGTAGGCATTTCGCCCAAAGTTTGGATTTGGACGCTTTGACAGTTGATTGTTTCACACTGGGCAACGAGGGCGTCGAAGACAATAGAAGTCTTCTTGCAACCGTCTAAGGTGATGGAATTCAATTTACCCTTGACCTGAGAAATTTAGATATGAGTTTGAAAGTTCAAAAAAGCTTACTTGAATAACACAGTTTTCGCATTTGTACACATACATCGTCTGTTTTTTATCTTCAATATTGATAACAATATCCCTGTTATTTACTTGATACTCCTATAAATCAATATCATTACATTTAAAAGCAATTCGCCCTTACGATATTCCATTGCTTACAATCTTGAAGCTCAATCTTAGGAGGTCTCACAACAGGTTTAGCAGCTGGAGAGGCTGACTTTGCAGGAGAAGCTCCTGGCGTACCGGTAACAGTTGACTAAAAATAACTGCTAGAAAAGACTATTGAGAGTACACCTACTGTTGCTCTGAGGTTAGGGTTCTTATGAGTCTGCATATCAGATGTCACTTTCTTCAGTTTAGATGTGATTGCTTCTCCTTTGTTGAGTTCGGCGAACAGAGCATCTCTTCCAGCCTTATCATCAGAAGCTTTGGAAGTAATTCCTGCCATTAGATCTTGAAAAATTGTCTTAGTATAAGAAAACACAATCGCACAAACTTGCAGGTGGAGGTGGAGGAGGTGGAGGTCCACCAGCTGGAGGTGGAGGAGGTGCTGTCTTTGGAAGAGCAGAACCACTTGGAGCAGATCCCTATATAAATGATAACTTTGAAATGAAACTGCTGTGATTACTCACGGGAGCGCTATTCCACACAAGTCCAGTAGTATGTGTTTGGCGAACAAACTGGTATAAAGATTCCAACACTTGCTTGAAGCTCTTCACCCACTCTATTTGCTTTGGATTGGAATCCTAATTAAAAACGTTTTGACGAAGGAATAGTGTTACTGAGTACCTTGAATGTTTTGAGAATTCTATTCAGATAATACATAGAAGCTTCCAGTGTGGCTTGAATATGTGGGGCAGGAGTTTTTGGAACTGTAACAAATCCAACTGCTGGAACTCCTTCCGCTACTGCACACAAGTTGTTGTGAAGAGGAGAATTACGAGCAGCATCCTACAGAACAAATGTTGCACAATTATAATAAACTTGAACATACTTTCAAAGAGTTGATTTCTCCTAATGTTTTCATCATGGGAGCAAGGAGCTTCTCTTTTTCATCATTAGCTGGTTCAGCTTTGCCAGCAGCAGTCCACAAAAACGTCTTCAACTCGTCGAAAATAGCAAAAACCTTTGTGCTCTTTAAATATTTGCTTGAAATAATCGAATGAATAGACAAACTTACCATAACAGCCACCTCTCCGCCAATTTCTTGGGAGACTTTACCGAAGTTGGAAAGAGTATCATCCATGGCATCTTCGAAGCTTCTGATATGTGCAGGGGTTTCAGATGTTCCAGCAGAAGGAAGACCTGAAAATATAAATGTTTCACAGAAATTTAATAATTAAACAGATAACAGTGTGTAAGACCCAAGTCTCACCATATTCGCTTCTCAAACGTTCCATAATATCAGAATCACATTGAAAAACAACGCGTTTTGGAGGACGAGAAGCATCATGGTTTTTGACTAGAATTCCGGGAGGCTGAGAGATAGGAACAGGCTGTATAGCTCGATAGGGCACTATGTTTCCATTTCGAGAGTTCCATTTCAGATTGTTATTCTCCGTTTCGGAATCATTATCGTAATTTGAAATAGGGGAACCCAAACTTCGTGGCGTTGGCACTGAGTTTGTTGGGCTAAAGTTCGAATATCGTTGATTGCTTATATCGTGAATAGGCGAGGTAATATTGTTTCGTTCGTATCGTATAGGAGAAAACTCGCGCTTTCTTATAGCAGAGTGATTCGTGGGAGGTTCACCTGTTGTTTCTAAAGTGACGGAAGGAGAGTTCGGGCGAGAAACAACAACGAAAGATCTTTCTCTCTTTTGAATCGGGGGAGCACCTACACAGTCGACAGGTTTGAAACTTCCAGCTGATACAGGAGTTGATTCATTGATAAAACCATTAATGCGATTATGGCCTGGGAAAACCTTTGAAGATACAGGGCCGTAAAAAGAATCTCTTTTTTTTGTATCATCTTCTCGTGTGTTTCCGACTGACACTTGCGTTTTGTACGAGTTAATAGGAGTATTATTTGATACGATGTATGATGAATCAGAGTAGCCAACTTCTCCATATTCAGGGTTCAAAAATCTATCACGATTGAAATCACTGACACTGTGGACTCGGGAAAGTCTGCTCAATGAAGGATCTTCCGACTGAATATGAGCACTTTGGTTGAAAAAACCAGCATACCTATCCCGGGGTTCATCAGACTTTTCGGGTGGGTACAGTGGCGAAGTGGGAACACTCTCTGATGAAAAACGCTTGTAACTATCATTAGAAGAATATCCAGACTGAGGAGGCGATCGAACGCTGCTTTGTGTAGTCCGAACATTCAGGGGAGAAGTTACTTTGGATTCGTCAGTTGTTGGTTGAGGAGCGAATATTTTGAGAATACGATCATCGTCAAGTTTGATGGGAACAATCGTTTGTCCAGTTTTGAAGGTATCACCCAAGTTAAAAGGAAAACTTCCTCCAAAGTTTCCGTTATAGTCGGGTCGTTGAGGTCTGGGATCCATATTTATGGGTGGAGGAGGATTAGTCATCCAATTGCGATCGGCAAGAGATGTGCGATCATCCATTTGCCTAAACGGCGGCATACTGAGCCGATTAAAATTAGATTGCTGCTGATGATACTCATCATAAGTAGGATTAAAAGTGAATCTAGAAAACTTATCGTCTCTAACTGGCGGCCCGATAGGAATTGACCGACTGTAGTCAAGTACTGATTCGGATTTTGTTTTGAACAGCGGTGTTGGTATGGAACTTGAAGAGACGGTACGGTTGATAGGAACTTCTCTCCTTCCAAAATCTTCATGTGCTGATCTACTTAGAGGTTCTTCGCGTTGAAATGGAGGAGGCGAATGAACAAGAGTAGTAGTCTCTATGGGATTTGATAGAGTTCGTTCTATTTCTTCCTTCTGACGGCGTAGCTTCTCAAGGAACTCCTCTCCTGTGATATTTTTTGAGGCATCCACATTCTGATAGCTACTAAGAAAGTTGCCCATACTTGGTTGGTAGACATTTCTTTGTGGGGAAGCTGCTCTAGAAGAGAATGCACTGTGTTCCTGATAGTTGTCCACTTGGGGACCGACACTTCCGTATCTGCAGGATCGAACCGATGAGTTATGAAATTTGGACTCATCCGGTTGTGATGCGAGATTTGAGGAGAGATGTTGATTGAAAGTGGACTGATGAGAAAATTGATTTGGAGAAAAATCATTATATATAAATGAGTTGGGAGTGAGAGAAGAAACACTTCCAAAACGCCTCGAACCAGACAGGCTGGAGTTGACGGGCCTGTAGCCTGTCGGATATTTTGTAAAAGGTCTAGGAGTATTAAGATACAGAGAGTCCATTCCTAACAGCAATTTATCACAGAGTCGAAATAACGAAAATCTAACAACGAACTCGCACAACCATCACGATATAGAAAGCAAAGCGTTTTAAGCTGAAATAGGAAAAAAAGTTGAAGGAAAAATAATAATGAATGAGAAAAACGAAAATAGGCAGAATAAGAAATCAATAGAGAACGTAGGATGACGAGCTTCAGGAAAGACTCAATGGTCCAAAGGAGCTTGAGAGAGGCGAAGGGCAACTGTTGCTCCACTCGCAGTGTACGGCGACGGAACAGATTATTATAGAAAGATATCTTTGTGGTGAGTTTCTCACGAAACAATGCGAGTTTTCAATTAGTGGGTAAAACTTATTCCCAAATGGCCATGAAAGGATAAACTTATCATGTGTCCACCTACTTTAATCAGTCAGGCAGAAGATGAATGGGATAGTAAGTCCACAATGGCCGAAGTAGTTGTATGGTCTCCCATGAGAACACGAAAGAATGGTAGAAAGACTTACTTCGTTCAATTAGTCTAAGAGGATTCTTCAATTTTAAGTGGATAGTAGCTGAAGACGTGAATATCAGCTGAGCACATCTGTCGGGAATCCGCTGAAGTTTCAAATTCTGGGAGACACCTTGTATTGTCTCACACATAACGACGTAATAAGAAAAAGCGGAGAAGCAGTCAAGATAGCCCCAAAACGAGTGAATGCTGTCTAATTCCAAACACCGCTCAAAAATAAACAAGAAACTAGTTTGCAGGTATATTAAAACAAGCTGGACAAACGGCACCCAGTCCTACTGGGGACTAAAACCCAAGACAAACGACGAAGTAAGAAGGAAACTCACTGGGAAGTCTGAACGTGGGTAACCTGGTCAAAATACGATCTTTACTTGAAATTCGTGTTCGTAAAGACATTGCTCGTAAGATAGATTGCGAACCGCAATCGTACCATTCAATACAAGAAATCATCTATTTCTCATCTTCGTCACCCCCCTTTGTTAGAAAAACAAAAAAAACCAAGCCCAGCCAAATAATCAGTTCGGGAATATATGGAAATCACAAAGACGGAAACTAACCAGATAAGTTTGCAGGCTTACGGGCTAGTGGAGGCTTTTGAGCAGCAAGGCTTTCGAGCTTCGTCGTGGCGACCTCCAAACGTTGTAAAAACTTTTCGAGTTTGTCTTCCATTCTACAAATAATGATTGTGAAATTAAAGAAGATTATGGAAAAAATGATACAATATAATCAAGAGCAAACAATCGAAGCAATAAATCGAAGAAAATACTGACAAGATTGTTATTATTATGTTTTCAGGAAAGGAGTAGTTATGCGAAAAACAACACGAAAATCAACTGATGGACGATAAGCTGACTTAACGACACTTAAGATTATGACAAAGAGACAGTTCTGGTCTTATGGGTATCCAGCTTTTCAGCTCCTCCCATTTAACTGTGCACGTCTTGGTTACTAACTCTCTTCGTAAAAGGTGAAAGTATATGTTGCTCCATTCGTAAACTCCAAAACACTTGTTTACGAATGGAGCAACGAATTGCCTTCAAAGCGAATAAAAAGAAAATGATTCAATATAACTTAAATGAGTAGAAATGTTTGACTGTTTAGATGTTGTTGAGCCAAAATAAAAGATCACAGAGCACCTGATTGTTAAGTTAAGAGACAGCTGTAGCTTCAATAAATGACGCATTGTGGGGGAGGTCACCAGTCAGTACTGTCGATCGATATGGAGCAGAGCGATCGACAGCCGTCTTTCGTCCTCTACTTGAGAAATGTGGCGTCTCCCCCATATGTTGAAAGAGATTCGAAGGTTCTTATGTTTTTAGTGGTATGATTTTGATCTTACTACGAGAAAAAAAAGAAAATCTTCTCTTGTATCTGCTACAACAAACGATTGCCAATCAAAACATGTGGCGTCGTCTGTTCAGTACAAATGGTGAATACTTGCAGTAACTACAACACACTATACCACTAAGTCAGTAAGTTTTTGGAAAGGCAACTAAACCTTGAATTCGTCCATAGAACATTCGAAACATAAAAACAAGTGACATGAGTCAAAGAAAATTGACACAGCTATTCCGCGCAACGAAGATGAGTAGTGAAGGAAGCCAAACCAACCGTTCCCCGCGTTCTCAAATTCAAAAATGTAACACTCGCTGAGCGGTTGTTCATGATGGAAAATGCGTACAAAAAATTTTTCTGATTTTGTATGTTATTTGGAAAATCTGGAGAATAAAAAATGATATTTAAAGCAGTTTATTGAATAGTACAAGTGTTTCGCATATAATGGCGTTCCGATGATTCATGCTTGGTAATGACAATTAGAGATCGAATTCAACTTCAACGGCGTATTTGATTTTAACCTGCTTAGTATCGTACACAACATATTCATTGTAAAGCAAGGAGAATTTTCCGTCTTCTTCACGTTTCACAGGTTTACCACAAGGAACAACTAAACCATCATCCCTGCAAAATATCGGTCTACATCTGAATTTGAAAAAATTTTACATTGTAACATGTTGAGCCGCATTAGGGATGGTGGATCCTTCTCCTAAAGTACTATGAGATCCTTTTGGAAGTTTGCTCGCTTCATAATCTGCATCTCGGAGGGCTCGAGGATTTCCCAACGCTACCTGAACGTATAAATGTACTCCCGATGATTCATCTATTCTCTTACCTCACTCAGTAGTAAAACTCCTGGTTTTCCCGGAGCAGGGTAACAATAGTTACCTGACTTACTAGCCATATCAGCAAAGTAAACTCCTTTGCCAAACATATAACCTATTTAAGTAGTTTCTTTCAAATATATCGAAAGCGAAAAGTCATACCACAAGTTGGTGCTTCAGGAGGGGCGATTCTTAAACCTTGAGAAAGAATTCCGTAAATATTCGTGAGTCTCGATCCATGCCACAAAAGTTTTCTATAAGGAACATTACTCGAATATTGTTGTGAATTCGTCACCTATTGTCTAAATCAGACATAAATTGTTCTTCCTCGTTACTTCTACGAACTTTGAAAACATTAATGATGTTCATAGAATACATGTGAGTCGATGCATGGTTAGTTGTCAAATAATCTTCAACAATCTAAAGAAAACCGTAGAAGAAATAGCCTTGTTCCAACTACCTTATATTCATCACTGAAGTTATCAATAGGAGTAAGATCACATTCCATATTTTCATAGAAACGATCACAGGGGTCTCTTCTGGAAAAAAATGAAATTTTACTTAACTAAACACTTCAACTAGCCTATCATTCTTAACTTTACCAGACCCAAGAGTGCGGATTGCAATTTCAATTTCTTCCAAGAACTCTAAAAGCTCATTTTCCTTTTTGATTTGATCAATGGTTTTGATCATAGGAGGTTGACGAAAGCTGAAGCAAGCACTTACAATTGCTAGATTGAAAGTGAACTTCTCACCCGAAGTTATGAGGAATCTTTGTGTAGTACTCGTTCACAGTATTGATAAAGTTGCTATCGAATTTTTTCTTTGATACAAATTCTTCAATTTCCGACAAGAGCCTATTTCCCTCTGATATCTGATGCTTTGTGAGTTTTCCTTAAAAGTGAGATGAAGCTGAGAAAGCTTTGAGAGTAGAACCTAAAGGAGCTCTAGCTGAATCATACTCCATTTGAGTAGCTGCTTCTTCCATCGCCTGGGTGTTACATATGAGACCAATGAAATTACGAATGCGTAAGTCCAACTTCGATTCTTCCTTAAAAACCGACTCAACAGCTCACACTATTTTCGGAGAAAAATTTACACATGGTAAATCAGTATCTTCTTCATCCTCGTCCTCTTCTTTTTCTTCTTTTTTCATTCCGTCACCTTTGGACATTCCGGCTACATTATAATCCATCTAGATTGAAAACGTAAACAAAATTCTCTACTCATAGCTTTAACCTCAATCAAAGTGTACTTGCCAGGGACCCGTTCGAAGTCGTGCCTTTCAGACCATTCATTATAAGTTTTATCATGGAACTTTTTGCAAAAGCATGCTTTTGCGTCTTCCAAATCCGATCCAAAAACGAAAAGATTGTCTTGTCCACGATATCCAACTCTACCCCAGCGGAACCACACGCTTAAGTATACATTGAAATGAATAACTAAGACCTATACTAACCTATAGTTCTTCGCTTTGTCGTCTTCGAGCAATTGTAAAATATAAAACTTATTATTATTTTGAGCAATATTTGTTTGATTGAGCATGGCGTCCCATACAACATTTCCTTCATCCAGAACATGGGCAACATCCACTTTTTCGGTACACTCAGGGTCTACTGGTGCTCTTCCTTTGATCACCAATACACGCTTAGTGCTTTTGTAGAAATCAGATCTGCTCTTAACAGATTCTGAAAAACAACTGATGACCTACTCTTTCTTGGAGTTAACAAACTATTTGTCTTGCTCTTGGATGATTTGTCAAGCTTCATTGATTTTGAAGGTTTGACATCTTCGTTATCGGAGACTACCTGGAAAACCAAGTTTCTGATTTAGATCCTTTTCCGAGCTCACTTCATCCTTAACTTCAGCCTTATAATCCACACTTTTTGCTGATCTTTTCGTCATTCCTCTCGTTCTCTCTGCGGGTACAGTTGGAACAGAAGAAATCGCAGCACCGGCAACGCATTCGTGCCGACGCAAACGCTGAAAAAAATAAGACTTTGATACGCCGTATCCTTTTCAATCACTCTTTTGCTTCCTTCGTCATTGCTCATCTCCATATTCAATAAATTGACATCGTACTTCTTGCCATTCAAAACAATACCGAAAGTTTCCTGACCATCGGCCTTAACTCAGTTTTATTACAACTTATCTAACAAACGTTTGCCCATACTTTTTGTCTTTCCATTTCCTGTTGGATATCTTTTGGGAAACATATGTATTGCCTTCCTCTCATGTATTCCCAGATAATATTTTCTAAACCTTTGAGTTATTCGGTATTTATGCAGTTTACACAACCTTCAGAATCTAAAACTAAGCTGCATCTAATATTTCTCCGAAAAGATGAGACCATGTTAATTTGTTTCATTCCTTTGATGTCGATATCTATCGGAGCATCTTCGATGACTACTGAGACTACATCATCAGAGCTACAAAAAGTTCTCCAATGAGCGCACAATCTCCACACTAACTTGTTTAATTTTTTAATAATTTCTTCCGTGTATCGAAACCACTCCCCTCTCTTGAATTCGTAATCCCACACAACATTATATGAACCTGAAGAAGTTCATTGCACCATATAACCTCTACCAGTTTCCTAACTTTTCTTATCTTCATTGTTTCCGGCGGGATCAGGAACATTCTCTTTGTTTTCAATCATTCTTCGAAAATTCGATCTGAGTATAGTATACAGAGCACATACATAATCATCCAGATATGGGAAAAACCTCGATAGAGAAGAATTTTCAATGATTTTATCACATTCACTCCGAACCGTAAAAAATACTCACAGAAAATATAAAAAGGGATAAAACTACGTAGTGGTAGATAGTTATTAAGTTATTCTTCTCAAACAAGCAGATAATAGAATAATCCAACTATAACAGCAACAAGGACAGGCATTACCATACCTTCCAATGGACTTGCGGCTCTCCTAGAATATATCAATCATAAAAACAAGGAATATATTGGTTTGATACTTTTGATCATTCCCATCAGATCTTCCTCGGCTTCTCTTGTCATAACTGTATAATTGGTGATCAGCCTAAGAAGATAGTTAAGACATAAGCAGAAAGCAAGAACAAACTTTTTCGAGAGATCCAACCAAATATTCTTCTTTCATCGCTCTAGCATCCGAAGAATGTCCAATATCTTCGAAAGCTTCCGTGGCATCCTGTCCAGCAAGTTCCAGAAGCACTTCGCATCCTCCTGGATGCTAAAGAGCATCAAAATTAAGCGAGGAATATTAAGTTATGATTTACTTCATCCAAAAACTTGGTAACATCGTAGACTTTGTTTCCAACGATGATCCAGCACGACTTGCTGTTATTGTGGCTAGCAACTTGGGATCTTAAAAACTCTTCACTCATCCTGTATCTGAAAGAGGAAATGAAGCTATGAATAAGAATTCTAAGTATTTAAATGAGCTCAGAAACACTCAAAAACGATAGCAACAGACAAACATTGTCAAATTTTTAATCAATTTGTAGGGGGAGGGGAGCAAAGGAGAGACTACACTCAAGTTTAGTGAGGTGAGATTGCGAAGGTCAGACTGGTTTACTGGAGGAGAAAGAACGGGAAACACAGAGAAAAATAAGTAAATGAGAAAATAAAACGAGAATACAAAACATATGAAGACACACGTGTAGTGTGGAGTAGAAAAATCACGAAATTGATAAGAAAACTTTCATATATGGAGTGTGTATTACGCGCAATAGATAACAAGATCAGCACAAGAGGGCACAATGTGTAACCAAGGAGAACAAATGGAACATCATCCAATCGTTCACTCAGCGTTCTTCTCTTTAACTTTTTGCAAAGCTCGGTCGAACGTCATAGATTGTGGGAAGAATTCTGAATTCAAGAAAATGACATGATCGAAGACAGGCATCTGTTGTTATTTTCAAACAAACCATGTAAATAACAGAGATCTTCGTTCTCGCATACGTATGATGCTAGTTCGTCGTAATCGATGTTATTCCCATATTGGGCATTAACGCCTTTCACCAGATCGTCCACGAACAATTCCTAAATTCAAAATCTTATCAAGAACCAATCGGAAGGTACATCGCCTGTTGCTAGATTTCAAGATAAGATTGTTAGGTTCATGAACAAATCTTCCCAAACTTACACAAGCCTTCGCAAAAGCGAATAATCCATCGCCTGAAGGAGGCAGACTGTCGTTTACACTCAAGATCAGATTTCTTATTCTCCCCAAAGGAATCACAGACTGGGCACTGTCTTCAAGTTCTTGCACTTCGGAGTCCTCTGTTTTCATCTTAAAGAGAAAAAACACATCAGCCACAGCAAGCACACACAAATATCCAGTAAGTTTTGTGACAAAACAAACACGAACAACAAGAGCAGAAATTGCCAAAACAGTATTTTGACAGAACATTTTATTTTTTTGTTGAGATCAGCGATGATGAATGTACAGAAGGGAATATGATTCAACAGCGAGCGCAAAACTTATGTCCAACATCGCACGTCCTAATTAATACAAACTGAAAACAAACTTGTACAACAAGTGCTGCAGAGGTTTAGAAAGTGAAAAACATTCATAGGAAATGTTTCGCTTGTTAGTTTATTCTCTTTTCTCTGTTTTGATTTCATGGATGTCCGTGACTTCTTCTTCCAAGATGGCGCTGCCAAATTCAGAATGACCGTCGTTCTGAAAAACAGAGTATCTCATGAATAACTTTGGAGAAAACTAACATGATCTGCAGGATTATTCAATAGTTCTTCATACATACTATCATCTATAACAGAAATGAGATAGAATCAACTTTTTTGTCAACGAAATTACCTTCCAGAGACGGGACAGTAGCTTCCTTCACTATGGTCACAGACCATGGTCGCTTATTAGTTGAGAAAGAGATCACATTGAATTGAATGAGTAACTGAAGTTTAAATTTTAAAATAAAGTATCATTACAATAAATATTACTCCTTGGTTCGTGACAGTAATGCGATCTCCCACGTTAACCTCCCCCCTCTCGAACATTTGCGACAACACTGATGCATTTCCTTCATCTAAATCCATATTAGGATTCCCCTCTCCATCTAGGAACATTATAGCGCAATTATCTATCTCTCTACTGGGTGATTGCTGAAAACGTATTATGAGTGAAGCTGTACCAAAATGATAAACCTGTACAGGTTCATGCCGTTCTAGTTGAGGTGGCGGTTCCAGCACATCATCTTCTTCCTGATCATCTAAATACTCAACAAGATATTCCTCTCGTCTCTCTGAAATTTTTCTGTAATTGACATATGATCACATTAAGTCTCACCAAAGTTTCTCTCATCATTAACTATTTGAATTTCTGGGTTTTGAGAAATAGGCTCGGATGGATCCAAACCATGAGCATTTTGAACATGCCTATCTAGTGACTTCTTGCCATAAAAAAATACTCCTTAACAATGAAGGATCTAATGAGATAATGAAATAAAAAAGTACCACAAACAGGACAAGCTTCCGCTCCTGGAACACCATGTCGAGGAGTTAACAGCTGCGGAGGGGGAGGGCCACCATGTCCAGGGTATTTGAACATTTCTTTTCGAACCTTAGTGTCGTTATTAGTTTTTGGATGTCTTTCTCGAATCAATCTTAACGTCTAGAAGAATCGTAGATTAATCCTGCTGAATTTCTCTCTAACGACCAACCTCAGGTTTCATTTGAGGTGATAACTTGACTTCCTTATAAGCCAAATTTCTTACAGCTCGTCGTAGAGATGGTGCGTCAACCTTCAAAATAGAACCAAGTTCAGTTAATGAAGGGCTTACACACGTTTTCCCGAATTTCCGATTGGATGAAAGTTTTTGTATACGGGCAACTCCGCCGATAGTGATAAAGAAGATTATAATCATATTTAAACCTTCAAAAACTAGAAGTATGAAAAACAAAGAGCACTGTTACCTATTTCCACAAAGTACACAGTGGTGACTGCCAAAAGAAGCATGGAACCCTGCTATATGTCGTTCAAGCCTACCCACGTTCGCAAAAGTCCTGAAAAAATCCAAAATTTTCAGAGAAAAGAATGAAGAATAACCTGAAGCATTCCGGGCATTGCAAACCTAGACTTCCTGGGCCTCCAACGCGCCATTTTTCCCTATTCTCTTGTCCTATTAGAGCCATGGAACCCTCTAGAACTCCTTCCATATCCTCATCGAAATCATCAGCAAAGACCACAGCCTAAGAAGTGTGAAGCTAGAGCTCTCAGACAGAAGAAACAATACTTGATCAGTGTTCTCCCAATTAGACTGTCTTTGATTGACTTCTACAGCAGTTCCCTCATCGTATCGATCCATAATTAAGCGCTTAAATCTCAAGTGATCCAGACGTGTAAATTTCCAACTTACATTAGGTTCGTCGCTACCACCTACTTCTCGATTATGATTAGTATTCTCACCAAAATCTTCTGGAAAACGTTCACTAACTTTTTTATAAATGCGACATTTACGTTTAGGTTGTACTAATCGATCCAACTGAATGGTAACGGCTCGTTTAAGTAAATCAGCAACAACGTGTCTGAGCTCATTATCACTCAAAAGCATTGCATTGTTCATTGTGTTCGCTTGTATTTCAGGACATCCCGACTTCCAATGCTTAATCAGATTACAATGTTGTCTAAAACATAGTTTGAGATAGAGAAGTAACTTATAAGACTACCGAAACCCTGTGCCACACAGATCACATACATAACCTCCAGTGACTGCTCGTTCATCGGGCAAACCTTCTCCTTGATGTAAAGCCAAATGTTTGGGCATGTGATTAGTGTAAACCACAATCCCGCAAGCTCGACAAGAGCTGCCTCTTTTACCTAATCATATATTCACGATATTTTGAAAGATTCGAATGAGTTACCTAAAGGATTGGAAGGCATTTCCAATCGAGAAAGAGGACCTGATTGAAATAGTACTGATTTAGATACCCCAATATCAACTGGTCCAAAATCTGCTTTCTTTTTCACAACCTCATCCACTAATTGCCTAAGAGTTGCTACATCCATCTCCTAAACAAGCAATAAGTAGATGTAGGATCTAGTTAGCTGTCATACGTTGCGTTGTAGAGTAGGAATAAGCTCATCAAGATCTTTACAAGTTTTCCTCCAATGATAAAATAAATTATACTCGTATTTATATGTTTTCGCACAGAGCGGACATAAAAAAGACCCGAATACCTAATGTGGAATAGATTGATATACCAAATGCAAGCTCGAATTACCTGATGAACAGATAAATGCCGCTCTAACCTAGCAGTATTTACAAAAGACGCACCACATTCCGGGCATTTACAATTCCCATACTGTCTATTTTTACGAGCTTTCAATCCTTGAAAATATTCAGTTAACTTTTATGTATTTCTATGCATACCCTGAGGGATATGAACCAAATTTCTACTTTGATACACAGGTTCTAAACTTGATGCTCTTATAGGTGAGTAATGAATTTGATCCAAGTGATCTTCCTCTACATATTCAACAGACATCTCTTAATGAAACATTCTGTACCCATATTAGTTTACTTTAAATACCGTTTCCATCCCCATCCTCCATTAATACAAACATTTCGCCATTAGCATCCTGAAATCTTCCCCATTCAAAAACAAAAAACAAAAAGAATTTCACTCTTTGAACGATTCCTGTCGATTCCTGAATAATTTGTAATTCTTCATCATCATCAGCGTTGTTTTCAACCTGCAAAAATAAACATAAAATATTTACAAAAACTTCATACTCACGTGAACCTCAGAATTTGGATCATTTCGTAATGAGTTATAACTAGTGCGTCTTATTTTGCTATTAGTGAATTCATCTTCATCATTTACTACTTCTCGAACAAGTCTAGAAGGTCCAGGCCGATCTACAAAACTTCTTTCGCTGCCATTCCCACCATTATCTGAACATTATAACAATTTGCACAATGTTGACTTTCAGCTTTTAATGTTTTATAGCATGTCCACATTTAAATTTAAGAATTTTTTACTTTAATTTGAAGTATGAATTCAAACATCTTACCCATATCCAAATTCTGAAATTTCGCGGGTTCTTCAGGAATCAGGAAATGCCTGCCGGTCAGGGTACAGCAATTTTCAGTAGAAAAAATGGTCCCAGTCAGACGCGCCTGCGTTTCACACAGCTACGGTAGTTTGCAATATGCCGCACGGTTGTTCTAAATAGCAATTTGTAAACCACGCTACCTTCAATTTGAATTTTGACCTTTTATTTTTTTAATAATTTTTTTTGGAAAAAAAAATTGGAGTAATCGAAATTTTAAAAATATATCAGACAATTACAAAGCATTGAAACAAGCCATAGATTCATAATCACCAAATTGAACGATTACTCAACTCATGTTTTCTCCTTTTTTATCGGTTTTGCGTGGGCTGATCATCCTGAGCTTATATATTAGTTTCATCATTTTCAGGTAACCTCCTTTCGGTACGAGTGGTGGCTCGTGATTGGAAGGTTTTTTTTATTTGTTTTAGCATCTGCTCAAGATTAAAATATATATAAAAATATATATAAACCACCATGTCCACAAATCAAGGTTAGCTTTTCTTGTAAATGATGCATTTCATTTATTGTTGTAGATCCCAACGTCCAGCAAGTAATGATGTATCAACAAGCAGGGTTTGCAGGCTATCAAACGGGAAATAATAACGTAGGAACATGGTCCCAACAGCAACCTCAAGTAAGAAATTTGTGAATTACTTAACTATGATTGCTGCCCTTCAGACCATGTTTCCCATAGCTTTCCAAGGCGAAGTTAGCTCTTACGGTGAAAAGAATGCGTATACTACTTATAATCCTATGCAATTCTGTGGAAATAGTGGAGAGAGTGATTATTATCGTTCCCAATATGCTACTGGAACCCCATATAGCCATGCACAGGTAACCTGTCCTCTTGTGATGAAGATTTGTGATTTTAATTTAGCCAACTGCCCAGTGGAGCCAACAACCCGCTTATCAAACTGCTACTGGTTATGCTAGTCAGCAACCAATTTTTGGAACTTATGCTGCAGCTGATCAGAGAGAAGCTACCCGAGGCCCTACTTTTAATCCCGGTGCACCCCCTCCTAATATGAATCGCCCTCCCCCTATTCTTAAAAGAGAAAATGGTGATAATACATTTCACGGTATTTTGCCTCTTTTTTTTATGTTACTTTTATTTTCTTAGCAAGTTTATCTGTTTTGGAAAACCCTGCTCAAACCGCTGCAGCTTATACTGCTAGTTGGGTGAGCAGTACCTCAAGCATTCCACCTGATCTCAAAGATGAACCCGAGGTAATTCTTATTGCTTGACGTATTCTTATTTGCTTTCAGTATGGTAATCTCCCGAGAGATGACATGAATGTTTTTGCTAACTTTTCAGATCAGTTCAATACAATGACCATTCATGATAGCTATAAAGTAAGCTTACTTTGTAATTACTTTGATTCATGTAATAACTTACAGACTCATCGAGATATTGGGCAGTGGGATAACAAACCCAATCTGCATTCCCAACAGTGGCCTGGTTTAGGGCAACAAGTACGTATTTCGTTTGTTAGTTTTAACTTCATTTTTTTTAATCTTTCATTTTTTTCTATGGTTTTGATATCAATCTTTTTTTTAGGATGATGCAAGCCGTAACAAAAAACATGATAGAGATCGACGACCCCGTGAAGATGCTCGTGAGCTCACATGGGATGAGCGATTAAGAAAAGCTCAAGTCCATAAGGAACGTGTCGAACAGTAAGTTTTTGTTTCTGTTGTAATAAGTTATGTATTTTTTTTTTTGAAGAAATGGCGAAAAAGTAGAACGTGAACGGTTTGAGCAAATGGATCGCAATCGCGGATCCCTTCGTGGTAGAGGAGGGCGTGCAGGATTTAGAGGCATTGATAATAGGGATAATCGAGCAAGAGATGGCGAAGTAAGATTAAAATAAGCTGGAGAATGTTATTAAGGTTGAATTGATTGCAGAATAATCGTTTCTTGCCCAACATTTTGCATGATTCCCAGAATAGAGGCGGTTTTCGGGGGCGCGGAGCAATGGCTAATGGAAGGGGCGGAAATGTAGGCCCCCCAATAGGTCCTCCTCCAATGAATCCTGTTATATATCAAGGTTTTTCATTTTGTGTGAAGTTACTAAAAAGTACATTAGGTCAACCCTCCGTGCTATTCCAAACCCGTGGAGCTCAGTTTGTTCAAGGACCTTCGCCACATCCACCTCCTCATCATCTTGTGAATGTTCCTCAAGACGAGAGATTCAAGAATACCTGGCTTGACGCTAATGCCTACTATCCCTACCCGGTTCCATTTGCGCCTATGCCTGTAAGTTCATAGTTTCAATTCAAAAATAACACTTGAACCCAGTACGGCATGGATCCCCGCTTTGCTCGGGGTCGTGGTTTCAGTGGTCCGCTGCGGGGCGGAAGAACATTTGGCACTAGAAATGGTAAAAAAGATGATGAAAGAAAACTTAATAATGATGAATCCTCCTTTGAAGAGCATGAAAAAAGCCCTGAGATGGTAAAAGTAAGAATTGAACTTTCCTCTTTTATATTTTGAATGTTGAAGGAAGTCCCTGTAATCGAAAAAGACAACGATGAATCATCAAAAAAAGAGAATGTTGAGACCTCTTCTTAAAAAACAAAGTAAGTGTAGTACAGAAATGTCAATGGACACACAATTTTCAGTGTGAGCATATTGGAATATCATTTGTGGTTTTATTGGAATCTAACTATTTTGTATTTCTTATTTCAGCATTTGGATAATTTGTATTTCCTTTCCTATATATACATATATATATATACTATAATTTTATATTTTGCTAATTACTTGAAAAGTTGAAATATAGTATGGCCCAACCACTGCCAGAGTTTAAAAAATATAAGATATAAGACCTCGTCACTCCTCCTCATCGCCGCGCTGTAACTCGCAGCCCGATAATTTTCTTCAATCTTCCCACATACACAAGTTAACATCAGAATAAAGTTTCCTTTTTCAGTATTATGTTTGTTGCTGTAGAGTTGTTATCAGTTCTTTCTACAGCATTAGTTTAGCAGTGGTTGTCGCTAAACTATTTTCAATTTTATACTCTTTGTTTGAAATTTGTTTGGAAAAATCCACCTCCACTTCTTGTGCTCGGCTTTGAAAGGCATCTGTCCCCTTCCTTATTTTTTACGTACACAACTAATTGCATCAAAATGACAATGACCTGTTTTAACACATTTAATTGTTTAACTAACACGTTGGGCTTTTTCTCTTCGCATTCGGAGTGTCTCAAGCCCTCATCGTTCAATGTTAATGATCGCGTTGTGACGTATTATGTTGAAAGTTTATAAAGTTTACCTATAAGAAAAAATCAACCAAAACCAATATCTTGCAGATTCAAAACATTGGAAAACAACATCCCATCGCTTTCTAACCACATCGAAACAAAACGTTGAACCTTTCCTTTTCCTAGACAATCTGATATGAGGTCTCTTTGAACAAGATGCTCGCTGAGTTCAGTGAGCTTGAGCTCGTGTTATTCTGGCAAAAGCAATGTGTTATTTCACATATGCAATTTTGATTAGTATAATGTGTTCATAGCCTCACGGAAAAAGCGTCAATGACACTGAGTATGCGCAGGTTCATACCAGCGAGTTCATAAAAGCTTTCATATATTGGAAAATTATTATTATATATTAGTTAAATTAAAATTCAGATAAGAATGTCGTGTGACATAATTGGGCCTCCAACACACTCTGCAGGAAGAGTTCTTTCCAACATGGAGAGACCAGGTTTGATAGAGAAATTAGTTGTTCCTGGACATCAAGTTACCACTTCTGTGGGCTTCATGAGGTAACGAACGCGATTGACTTTTCATTATGAGAATTGTGCAGGGGTCATGGAACATATATGAAAGGAGAAGATATCATAGCCTCTTTGGCTGGTACTGTTCAACAGGTCAATAGATTAGTTTCGGTTAAATCTATAAAATCAAGGTATAGAACTGCCTCCTAACACTTGTCTTATACACTTTTTGTTCCAGATATGGTGGAGAAGTAGGAGACGTTGTCATTGGGAGAGTTAGAGATGTACAACAGAAGCGATGGAAGGTTAGTTATCAACAGCTTCATCTTGATTATCATGCATTTACAGCTCGACACGAACTCCAGACTCGATAGTAATCTTCCTTTGAGCAGTGTGAATTTACCCGGAGGAGAACTACGTAGAAAAAGTGTTGAAGTAATTCTAACAATGAAGTTGCTTATTAAGCTATATGTTGATAGGATGAATTAATGATGAGAGAATATTTGAAAGAAGGAGATATTGTAAGTGCTGAAGTCCAACAAGTGAATTCAGACGGCGTGATAAATTTACACACAAGAAACTTGAAGTACGGAAAATTAGCGCAAGGAGTTCTGGTTAAGGTTTGTAACTTTAGAACGATTTTTGCAAATTTTTAAATTTCAGATTCCATCGTACCTTGTGAAGAGAAGGAAGACTCACTTTCATTCTTTGCCATGTGGAGCCGGAGTCATAATAGGATGTAATGGTTTTGTGTGGATTTCACCAGAGCTCAGTGAGGATCCCGATGGAGGTTACAATCAAGATTTAGAGGTTCTAACAAAACCAGTGAGATGCACTTTCTGACCTGAATATTTAGATTGTTCCTCCCGAGACACGGAAAGTGATGGCCCGCCTTGCTGAATGCATTCGAGTCCTGGCAGAAGCTTGTATTTATGTGTACGACACCACTATTATGCAAGCATACGAAACTTCTCTACGCTTTAGTGTAATGCATAAGTAACGCCTGATTCGGATTTAATTTTTCTTTTTAGGTTCTATCCCTTGCTCGACCTGAAGTTGCCGCTGAAATCGCGGAAGAAGTTGTTACTAAAATTCAGAGCGAGATGGAAATTTGAAAGTATTGAAATACTTTTGAAGCGGGTAGAACTTTTTTGTTACTGTTGATGATAAATTTGTTGAGTTTTCTATTCTAATTTGTTGAAAGCGTTCTTATCTCTATTTATTTGATAATGAGTGTGTCTATTCATTCTTAACTTTGTTTTAGAATGACTTCCACTGAATACCCGAACGTTACAGTGACGACTTCTCCGGAAGATTTAAGATCTAAGCTGAAACAATACATTTTAGATACTGTGAAACCTATTCTCGAATTTAATGGACTCATTTCAATCGGAGTTTCAGGTTTTTCTTTATTTATTTCCTCCTGATTTTGATTCTTGTTCGATCAGGCGGTTCAATGCCAACAGTGTTGTGTGACGTCTTTCGTTCTTTGGAGAAGTTTGACTGGCATCGAATTCGTATTTTTATGGTTTGGAAATTTGAATACGCAAGTCTAATAAACGGTTAAGGTTGACGAGAGAGTTGTTCCTATCAATCATGAAGATAGTAACTGCCGTCTTTATCTCGAGAAGTTGCCACAGCAGTTACATCAGTATGTAATTCCGTTGGCTCTCTGTGATACCTGTTAGTTTTTTCCTGATATCATAACTAGTCTGTTCTCAGTACCTAGGACTGCTCAACAATATGAAACTGCACTCAGGCAACATATTATGCCAGAACTCATCGGAGGATTGCCTCGTTTTGATATATTGTTCCTAGGAATGGGTCCCGACGGGCATACCTGTAGCTTATTCCCTGATCATCACTTACTCAAGGTTTTGTTCTGAATTTACATTTTTTGTAATATACTTCATGGTAAGGTTGATTCAAAACCATGGGTTCTTTATATCGACGATTCACCAAAACCTCCTCCAGAAAGGGTAACACTTTCTCTTCACTGTCTCAACGCTGCTAAGAATGTAGCATTTATAATTTCCGGAGAAGAGAAAGCCGATTTGACTAAGGTAGTTTTTTTTTGTGTTTCATTTTTTTTATGTTTCTCAGAGTGTTCTCGATCGTGATCCTTCTTACCCAGCATCATTAGTACAACCGTTGAACAAACATTTGCGATTTTTCCTGGATAAAGGAGCTGCCAAAAAACTCTGAGCTTCAAAATGCTTATTTCGGTTTTACTCTCGAAACATCTGCGATTATTTATGCAATTCTGAATATGAAATCTAGTGCTTTTCAAGGAATAAATTTTTTTATCTCGTCAGTGGCGATGAAATGGAAGATGTATTACATACTATATATGTATATTTATGTTGTTAAGGTCTCGGCTCCGAGTTGTAACACGTAGATGATTTTTCTTTTTTTTATTTTTCATTCTATTTTTCATTCGTTTGCGCTATTTTGTATTGCACGGCTTTTTCCAAACTTTTGTGACCACTGGGCGTCGTGGCGGGCGCCTGTGAGCCTTTTTTTTTTTTTAGGCTTTCACATAGCAGACGTATCACGTATAATACTACAGGCACGACCGGTGAGGAGACGTGTACTCTGGAAATGAACATATAGATTTTCATTTTATTCTTTCAGAATTAAATTACCCGGTGTCATGCTCCATTTTCATTCCAATATCTAACTGTCTGTGAGCAGTCGTGTTTATCTTTCTAGCTCTAATATGCCAAACGAGAAAGCGCTGCAAACTCAATTGGTTCAAGAACCGTTCAAAGCTTAAGCAGTTGCTCATTCAAATTATTTTTACAATTAAAAGTTCTGAACATCCTCTGGCATTCGATACAAGTAATACTTCATAGTATCAGTTAGGACCCCAAACATGGCTACCTCACCCACTTGACTTCAATCAAATAAGATATTTGTTTTACTTTTTCCAAATAAAACAAGGAGATAAAATAACAACGAACATGAAACAACAAAAAAATTAACAACAACAATGAAATGATTATTCACTTTCTCCCCTTCCTTCCGGAGAAGATTTTCAAGTCGTTACATAGACTGTTTTCTGAGAATTTCGTTTGCTCATTCAACATTTCCTGCTGAAATATATCTGATTCATTTAAATTCTTTGTATCTCTGGTCATTGAATACATATTTCACTGTTCGAAGAGATTCACCAATTTCGTTAAATTGATGTTGTAGAAATGAAACCTGCAAATAATGAATAATTTAGTGTATCAAACAGAATATTACCAGTTCTTTCTGTTCACTTTTACGCTTTATGGAGAAGTAGAGATTTCATGACAAGCATCCTCCATCTTATAAGAAAATATTGAACTTTGCTTGAAAAACATCTTGAAAATGAAATAACAAACTCGTCGAGTTCTAGATCTTACAGATTGACCACTCTCTTTTTTTCTCGTTCTCTTCTTTTCTTTGGTGTGACATCTTCACCCTGCCAATTTCTCTTTCTCTCTGTATGACCTACTTTTCTCTTCCTCACTGTGACCGAGCACAAACGCACATTTGCCACAGTTGAACTAGATGCTCGCGACGCGATTTAGATATGGTTGTACTTTGTGTTCGTCTTGTTGGTGAAGAGAAGGATCGGTTGTTCGCAGGCATTGAATTCGATACCGAGGTTTTACTTTGATAATTTATTACAATTTACTACTTTATATTTTCAGATTTCGTTCGTTGACTTAAAAAAGGAGCTTGAGACTATAACGCAAATTCCTGCCCGATTTCTAGAAATCCAGTTTCAAGGTGATTGTTTACCCGTTGTGGAACATCCCCTCCGAGATGTACAATTTGGTCAAGAATTAATTGTCGTAAGTTGATTTTTTATATTTAGAATTTACTGCTTATTGCTAGGATGCATAGTTTTATTCATGACATACAGACTGCCTTATATATTATTATTGTTCCAGAAACACACATCCCTTCTTCAATGGCAGAATTACTTAACGATAGTACAAAAGTTTCGTGAAGCCAAAGAAAATCGTTCAAGGCAGGAAAGAGCTGTTGAAGCTAATGAGCAAGCGAAACAACTATACGATGTGAAGTTTTTCTCTGCTTATGCGACATTCTATTCCGGTTTGCTTCGTATGCGAGAGGAGTATGCCGTTTTTCTGGACAATATTCCCGATTTTATCAAAGAAGCAGCCAAAACGTACTTCACGCGCAAGTTTTACGATAAATTGATCGATGTCGATTTCAAGGATAAGCCCTCTGGTATGTTGAGTTTATTCATCATTGATTTTGATTTTAAAAATATTTAGGTAGTCGGTCTGGTGCTATGTGTATTGTTAGTTTTGATGCATACCGTCGCGTGTTTTACATTAAAACGAATCACAACGCTTCTAGTATTTCATGTAAGCTGATTGCAGTGAATCAATCAACAAAATTTAAAATTTAGTTACTCACCGTGGGCCATTAAACATGATCGAATTGTTCTTATACAAACTTTTGGAGGAAATGAATATTGGAGCCGTGATTGATTTCATCCCAAATCTGGTTTCATCGAGCAAAATCGTATACATTTGTAGCGAAGAGGTTCCTGGATTCAGAACTTTGGCAATGCTTGAGAAAGAATGGTCAGTGCTTTTAAAATATTATGATTGATTTCGACTTTCAATTTATTTTTTTCCAATTGGTTTGTGTTTAGGGATAATTTTGAACGTAAAATTGTCAAGCAGAAAGAAGAAATTTCGAAAGCCATTATCCAGATATCTTTGCTGGCTCAAATTCTCGGTTTGGATGATCTTAACGCCGAAAACATTGGATTCATCGAAAACACTTTTTCCTTATATATTGTGGATTTTCGAACAGGATTTATTGATAGCTCGATTGGGTTCGAAGATATCAATCGTCCAAAAACCACGTTGAGTTTGGTCGCTCAGCTGCGGATGAATTTAGGACGCTTTTTGGAGTTGGTTAAGGTTTGTATATTTGCATTGATGAAAATCTTGAATCTTTGCTTTTAGGGAAAAACGTACGAGGAACAGCTCAGAATTGTAAAGGAGTTTATAGTTCAATCTGGAATCAGTTTGAAGTTGGATGTAGCACTTGCAAAGCTGAACGAAGATAAGGAAGTCTTCCGTCGAACAGATTTATTATTTAACAAAGGAACAGAGGCTCTGAACGAATATATCAATATTGTTCGAGAAAAGATAATTCAAATACATAATTTATGATTTTTTTCATTTTCCGTTCCAGCGCAATATTTCGACCTTTTAACCATTTTTGAAAATTGTTGAAAACGACACATTTTTGAAGAGTTACGACAGAAAATCAACGAAAATAAGCCTTAAAATGTCTGACAGATGCTCATTCAAATCATTTTCACAACTAAAAAGTTCTAACCATCCTCTGGCATTCGATACAAGTAATACTTCATAGTATCAGTTAGGTTTTCTCGTCTTACAATCTATGTAGTCTGCACTCGGAGTTTGATCTGTCTTCAAACCGTTTTCTAGCAAATTCTAGAAATTAGTGTAGATATTGATTACTTTCTGACATCCGAATTTTCTTGGATAACTTTCTTTCAACTTTTTCAAAATTAATTTCTTTCTG